ATCACTTCGAGGGAAGAATACATGGTCCCTCGATAAAACACAGCGTATGGTATGGGTTTGACACCTCCTTCAACACAGTGTGATTGTTTTAAAAACATAACCTCCGAATTTGATGTCTATCTCCGAAAGCGCTAAACCAAGCAAGAAGGGGGAGCGCAATTAAATTTCTTGGAAATTCGAGCTAACAAATTTCATAAAGGGGATCCAACCATGGCCTTTTTCAACACAGCTCAGCATGATGCCAACTGAGCAAACGATGCACCACAAGAATTAAGGCTGGAGGGGGGGGGGATATATTCTGGAGAAAAACAAGGCAACATAGGTTACTGCTGTAAATGGAGCCTCGAACTTTTATGAGAAATTGATAAAGTTCTTGATCGAAGGCGTAAAATTGGCCTCAACAGAAGATGGGATAAAAACCAGTAACTAAGAATGGAGAACTATTTTAATGAGGTTAAAGTTACTGTCATCTCTTTGATGGCAAGGAATGCCCATCTTTAAATGTTTCAACAGTGAGTGTTGGCCATGTTTTTAGAGCCATGTTTTATGTAAACTAAGAAGTCTCCTAAGTTTTATGCCACCCGATCACCCTGAATTCGAAAGATTCGCTGTACCTTCTGTCTTTTTCCCTAACTCTGTGATACCAACACGGTTTATCCCTCAGAGTTGCTCTTCCCCTCCGGCCCATAGTGAGTCACAGAGAGTAACCCAAGCTTATCACCTAGGGTCACTCAACTCGACACCAGGCCAGGAGTTCTATGACCACACTGGACAGAGTCCGGCAGAATCAGGCCAAGAGCATGCCATGAAGAACTGACTCTAATTGTCATCTGACCTCACAATAATCTCAGCTGATGTGCATGACGGGACATGAAAACTCAGTGCTCTCCCCTTACTTATTCATCGCACGTAAAAAGGATCCAATGTAAAGAAATAGGGAACTTCGAGCTTGCTTTGTCAGCTCATATTTAGTTCAGTTTTAGTTAGATAGATAGATAGATAGATAGATAGATAGATAGATAGATAGATAGATAGATAG